GAATGGGTTGAGATTAAGAAAGCTCTAAGTCAGAATCGACTCACTGGCAGTTGGTTTGGTTGGGTTTGGAAGAAGGAAGAATAGCACAAGGGAAAGCCCTTCAGCTGAATTAGAAAGTGGCGAATTTGGGAAGTTTAAAGCAAGATGTCTGTGTAGACCAGATGGTGTAAGCTATGGGAAGGATTTCAAACTTTAGAGACTGTTCTAAGGGCAGTGGGGAGCCATTGATTGGGAAGAAGTGGAGTGACATGATCAAGTTTGCATTTGAAAAAATCATTCTGGATTCAAAATTAGAGGTCTTTTCACCCTCTCGGTATGATCAAATCCTAATCTGGGGGTCAGCATTATCTCTCAGTTTTTAATCACTAAATATATTCCTCTCCAGCTATTCATGTAAAAAATTATTTTATCCCTCCAATGGGTTATATGACTTAAAAAATCATAGGCATGTCAAGTCAGGAGTAGGGCATAAGAGGTAAAGCCAAAGGAAGTTACAAGCAGCTAGGACATTAGTTCCATCACCAAGGTTGAATTTTAGTTAAAGGATCAAGGTTAATAGTATTTCCACTTGGAAAAAAATACTGTAGTATTTTTATTGATCCCATGTAGACAGGACTTCAGTCAGTCCCTTGTGTTTGACCTAAGAATTCTTCAGCAAAAGCAAGTTCAGGGGCTGATGTAACACTTGGATTGATCTTGATTTAGGATAGATTTAAACACACTTAATATTGAAATAAATATTGGCCTATCTTTAATATTAATTAATTAATATTGTTGGATAGTCTGTAGGCTAAGTATTACGGGAATTTATTAGTAATAAAGTTATTCTTTCTGATCTGGTTTCTCGTTCCTTTTGCATCATTGGGATCAATGGCACATGCATGCTTGATTGGAGAAATCTTAATGAAGTTGGTACTCCAAGTATTTGTTCCCTACATCTGAAAGCAAGAAGGATTATAATTGAGTTAGGGCTCTTCGTGGGTTATCTGAAGGAGTTCTGAAGCTTTGAAAGAAACAAGGGGAACCTTTTTCTCATGCCTTTACAACTTTGACCAAATCTTCATTCTTTGTTGCTCAGTCTTTACCTAACCCCAAATGATACATGTTATTTTTTTATATGCACAAAAGCTCTTTTTGTTCTTTTTTATTGTACTTCAGGTGAAGGCTTACAGAACAAATAGTTTCTCATGAAACAGTAGTACACATATTGTTTTATGACATTGGTTAACTACCCCACAACATGTCAACCCTCTAACTTCTCAACCTTTTTTTTTGGTGAAAATACACATAGCCAAAGATACACCGTTTCAAAAATTTCTACATGCACAGTTCAGTGACATTGACTACGCTCTTCTAATTGTGCTGCTGTTCTCACTTAAGATGAAGGCTTACAGAACAAAATAGTTTGTCATTTAACAGTTACTACACATGTTGCCCTATGACAATGGTTAACAATCTCACAACATATCGACAATATCCTTACTCAACCTTGGGTTCCCAATCACCAGCTTCCTTGTCCCCTTCTGCCTTCTGGCCCTTGTCACTGGACTGCTGTACCTCATTAGTCCCATTTGGTTTTACGGGGCTGTCCACTTCCAGGCTGAACGGTGAACCTTGGAGATAACTTCACCACTAAGCTAAAAGGGTGTCTGGGGGCCATACTCTTGGGGTTTCTCCAGTCTCCTTTAGGCCAGTAAATCTGGTCTTTTTTTTGTGAGTTAGAATTATGTTCTCCATCCTTCTCCACAGCTCTGTCCAGAACCCTCTGTTGTGATCCTGGTCAGAGCAGTCAGTGGTGGTAGCCAGGCACCATCTAGCTGTACTGGACTCGGTCCAGTGGAGGCCTTGGTAGCTGTGGACCATTAGTCCTTTGGACTGATCTTTTCCTTGTATCCTGTTATCTTCATTCTCCCTTGCTCCCGAAGGGATGAGACCCATGGAGTATCTTAGATGGCTGCTCACAGGCTTTTAAGACCCCAGATGCTACTCACCAAGGTAGAATGTAGAACATTGTCTTTATAAACTGTGTTATGCCAATTGAGCTAGATGTTCCCTGAGACCATGGTCCCCACAGCCCTCCGCCCAGCAGTTCAGTCCCTCAGGGAGTTTGGATGTGTCTATGGGGCTTCCATGACCTTTCCTTGTACAAGTTGTGGTAGTTTCCCCTGAAAATGATACATGTGTATGAACAGGTGCCTTATTGCTTCAGTTTGCTTGATACCTAACAATAATCATTTGACAGGAAGTAATCATACAGCTGATTTATAACCATCATTTTGAGTTTGCATAAAGCAGTAGTGTTAGATTTCTGACATTATTTCCCTTAGTATGACTGTTAACAGATTGGGGGCAGTGTCCATATCTTGGGAAACCCTGGTGGTGCAGTGGTTAAGAGCTATGGCTGCTAACCAAAAGGTCAGCAGTTTGAATCTACCAGGTCCTCCTTAGATACTCTATGGGGCATTCTACTCTGTCCTGTACAGTCGTTATGAGTCAGAATTGACTCGACAGCAACAGGTAACAGGTGTGTATCTTGGTGATCTTGGTGTCCCTCCAGGGCCTAACAGAAGGTCTTGTGTGTATTAGTACTTGTAAATATCTGTTGAAATAATGGATGCTTTATAATAACCACTTCTTGTTTGCATGACCAGTGGCCCACCTTTATGAGTTATGTGGTCTTGGAACAGAGCCCAGTAATTTATTCAACAGGTATTTCTAATGCTGGGCACTGTGCAAGTTGGTTACAGTGTAGTGGGGGAGACAGACAGGTGAATGAGCAAAAACCAGCAGGGAGCTGAATTCTCGAGCTTGGTATCATGAGTAACTTTTTCCAATGTAAACATTGATACCTGCACTAGAGTTTCCATTGCTGGACCAAGGTGTTTGGTTGCTAAATTAAGCAAGACAGTCTTTTCCCAAGTTGTAAGAAAAATATCTAAAATAGGATGATAATTTCTTTAAGGGTTTTCATCCATAAAGTGTTTTTAAACCTTTTCTTAAACTATTGCTACTTCTGGTAATATCTACAGAAGACAATAGGATAAATAAGTAGTAAGCAGATATTAATGGAGAACTTAGAACTAACCATGCTTAACTTGAGGACTTTAAGTGGTCACTTGTGCTTAAACTCTGATTTTTATATTGTACACTTAAAACACAGCCATATATTTTCTGCTAGTAAAATTATTCCTAGTTCATATGGTTGGGTTAAATATACACTGTAATATTGTTTTTTAAAGGACATCGTGCCCTGCCATCCAGCTGCATTAGAAAATCACATCCTGACACAGCTTCCTAGAGCTTTTTTGTCATGGTCTTTTTTTCCTTACTCCTGAACTCCTGGGAATGCTACTCTGCCATCTCAGTGGATAACATTTGACTTTGCAAAGGATGATTTATTCCCTAAACAGCACCATACTGTATCCAGAAATAAAAATATTCTCAACGTGACCCTTCTTTGTGCTCTGGCCAAAAAAAGTAAATGTACTACCTCAGGTACTTCTGCCTCATAGGAGGTAGGATAGAAGACAGAAAAAAATAACATTCAAGTGTTGTTTTGTGAGTGAATTTCCCTTGAAGAAATTAAAGCTGAATAAGAAACTGGTTTTTATAGTTTTTCAAATACAGAAAAAGAACACAGCTGTTTAATTTGGCATGAAAGAAAGACTTGGGTACAGTTTTTTTTTTTTTTTTCCTTATAGTAGCGTTAGTGGAGATGGATTGTCTTTACTTAAAAGATCTCTTCATCTTATAAGCAGCAGTAATACAATAACCAACTAGTGCTATAAACCCAAACTCATTGCTGTCGAGTTGATTCTGACTCCTAGCAACCCTATAGGACTGAGTAGAACTGCCCCTTAAGGTTTCCAAGGAGCGGCTGGTGGATTCAAACTGCCTACCTTTTGGTTAGCAGCTAAGCTCTTAACCACTGCACCACCAGGGCTCCAAAGACAAGTGCCATACATTTCCCTAAAAAGTACTCAAGTAATCTTGAATCAGCCAGGAAGTAGTTGAGTAGAATAATTTCAGAGACCTTTGTTGTTCCCATCTTTTGACTAACTCATTGGAGATGAGCCCATTTGTTTTATAATTTCTCCAGCATGCATAGTATTTTGGAGTGATATCAGTTTTGCTTTTTCTTAACTATCATTCAACAGCTGTTCGTTGAGCTCCAGTGTGCCAAGTACTGAGCTGGTCACTGAATGCTAAGAAAATAGTTAACCCTTGCATAGCAGTTACTATGTGCCAGAAGTGTTCTAAGCACTTTACATTAACTCATTGAATCCGTAGAACAACTCTGTGAGATAGGCACTGTTATTTTCTCATCTTACAGATGAAGAGAGGTTGCATAGCTGGCTAAGGTCACTCAGCTAGTAAGTGAGAAAGTGGGGACTGGAACCCAAGCAGTCTGGCTCAGAGTCTGCTCTCAGCCAGTCTGCTGTCCTCTAGTGCTTCTTGCCCCACACCTTTGCCATTTATGAGCCTTCTTCACTTCTGTGTGCTAGTCTCATTTAACATTTGCGTAAGCATTTGAATTTTTGTTGTTTGTGGGCTAACTGATGATTGATGAGTGCTCTGACTCTTGCCATAATATATATTTGAGTGCCTGACACATAGAAGAACTTATTTGTGTGTTGAGTGAATGATTATTGACAGCCAAGAGAATTTTAGATGTCATGTTAAGAGAATTTGAACTTATTTTGATTGTTGCTCCTATTAGCTGTGCAGAATAAAAAGCTAAAGGCTTTGTTGCTATACAACCCAGTCAGTGATAGCACCGGGGCTCTGAGGTCACGCTCGCATGTAGTTATATATATTTATGTTGGGCATCGAGAGGAAATAAGGAACAGAATACCCTCTTTGCATTGATATTACATCACTAGTTGTGTTGTTAATAGGTAACATGCCTTCCTGCTGTGCTGTCCTCTTGTCCCCTCATGATTTGTCCTCTTGTGTGTTACCTCCAGTCTGACTGACAGTGTTGCACACGCTTGCCTGCCATGGGCTGTCGGGATGTTCATGCAGCCACAGTCCTCTCCTTCCTGTGTGGAATTGCCTCCGTGGCAGGCCTCTTTGCGGGGACTCTGCTTCCCAACTGGAGAAAGTTAAGACTGATCACGTTCAACAGAAATGAGAAGAACCTGACTGTTTACACAGGCCTGTGGGTGAAATGTGCCCGATATGACGGGAGCAGTGACTGCCTGATGTACGACACTACTTGGTACTCATCGGTTGATCAGCTGGACCTGCGGGTCCTCCAGTTTGCCCTGCCCCTCAGCATCCTGATTGCGATGGGTGCCCTGCTTCTCTGCCTGATTGGAATGTGTAACACAGCCTTCAGGTCCTCGGTGCCCAACATCAAACTGGCCAAGTGTCTGGTCAATAGTGCAGGCTGTCACCTGGTGGCTGGGCTGCTGTTTTTCCTGGCAGGTACCGTGAGCCTCTCCCCATCCATTTGGGTTATCTTTTATAACATGCATCTGAACAAGAAGTTCGACCCAGTCTTTATGTTTGACTATGCAGTGTATGTCACTATTGCTAGTGCTGGGGGCCTGTTTATGACTGCCTTTCTACTGTTTATTTGGTATTGTGCATGCAAATCTTTGCCTTCTCCTTTCTGGCAACCACTGTATCCCCATCCTTCCAGTATGCATACTTACTCGCAGCCCTATTCCGCACGCTCCCGCCTCTCTGCCATTGAAATTGACATTCCAGTAGTTTCACATACCACCTAATGGGAAAATAGTTAATTGTTAAAGAAAACTCTTTTTGTAGCCTCACATTCCCCTTATGCACCACCTACCACCGCAAGGAGCTTTTTTGGACCTGTGTGTATTTTCTTTTGTTCCTGACCAATCATTGAAGCCAAATTTGTATGTCCTGGTAGAATGAAGTGCTGCTAGTTGTTACAAGAAGAACATTATTGTAAATGTGAATCATTCCTTTTATCTTCTTACACTGGAAGGATTTTTAATCTCCATATTGATGATTTGGTCAGTTATTTAAGTGGAAAAGACCTGTGTCTCCGTTGAGGTGATTTAGAGTAACATGGTAAAGTAAAAATGGCCAAGAGAAATTGTTGTATACAATCTTTATGAACATTTCAGAGTATGTATTGTCCTTTTTCTATACCTAAAACTGAAGGGAAAAGTGATTTCAAATATATTTCTTTTAGGTAAGGGTTATATTTTAATAGTAGTCTGACAGTTTTTGTTTTACTCCTTTCTCAGGACTAATTATATTTGAATAGACTTAGGTATTTTGAATATTACTTTCTTTTGTGAGTTCCTTCTACCTCATGTCAGAGTTTAAAAATAAAATGCATTTGAAGTGCTATTAGAATGAGCTTAACATTTCCAATATCTATTAGTTATGGATAATATTTAACATAATTTAAAAAGTTGATGATTCTATAAATTTTATTATTAGAGTTAGAATGTGCCATGTGATGGGTTGGTGCTTCCTTTGAAACAGGAAAAAAACCTTCTTCCAGGTACCGTCCACAAAGTAGTATTCATGTCCATATATAATCTCTTAGTAGGTAAGAGAAAGAAAGGGGCCCTAGTGGTTTGTTCTCTTTTAGACATAGTGGTAGGGGACAGTCTGTTCTTCAGTGACAGTGACATCAGAGGTTCATACTGGTGACTGCCTTTTGAGTGATGGGTGAAATAAGGTATGACTTTACCATGACCACATCCAGACTTGATTCAATTCCTGCCCCCACTACTGATTATTTCCTTCAGCATGTATCTCTGCCCAGCACTTTAGTAGGTGCTATAGAGGATCCAAGGAGCCTGGTTATGCACTGGTTAAGCACTCGGCTGCTAACTGAAAGATCAGTGGTTCGAACCCACCAGCAGCAACATGGGAGAAAAGATCTGGTGATCTCCTGTAAAGAGTACTGCCTCGGAAACCCTATATGGTAGTTCTGCCCTGTCCTATAGGGTCGCTGTGAGTTGGAATCACCTGAATGGCACAGAACAGCAACGTAGAGGATCCATGAAAACTGTGAGATCTGGTCCCATCCACTAAGAAACTTTAATATAGAAGATAGAACTGTTATCTGACAATTAGGAAACAGTCTGACTTCATTGGACAGCTAGCCTTCTCAATCATTGATCCAGGAATATATTTCAACCAGAGACATGACTTTCTGGCAGACAGATTTATCACACACCACCAGCAACATCCTGGACCGTAGAAATTCAGTTTACTTGAATTTGTTGAATCCTTAGAGCACCTACCTTAGCCTAGATTCTGTAATAACACTGTCAGATGCGTGAGAATGGGCAAAAATGGTAGAGAAATTCTATTGTTCCCTTATCCGCCTCTGAAAATACGATTTATTGAGGAGAGAGAAGTTTTTAAAATCTCTCTTACAATGGAGTGACAATAAGATGAAACCATGTTAACACTACAGTGAAAGCTTAGAAATTCAGGGATACTGGGTCTTTACCCTTATGAATTGGAGCTGTTTATTTAATTGGCGTGACTTGCTACATATTAGTGCTATGTTTCATAAGGATTTTGTTCTGTTAACCATTACAGATTTTACAAGAAGCTAGTTGCATGGTAAACAGATAATTATACCTCTTTTGCAAATCTGAATATGACTCTGCTACTTGTGTGGGTGTATGTAGTAAGCTTTTTTTTTTTTAATTCCAACTCTAATTTATGTACATAGCAAATGAGTCCAGTTGTATAATTTTTAAGTGCCATCAGTAGAAAGCATGTTTTTTTTAGTTACAGCTTCTGATTCCTTCTAATTCTTCTCAGGTGTAGCAGAATCTTAATCATTCCAAAACAACGGCAAGTGGAATTTTGAGATCAATATTAATTTTCTCCCTTTGCTAACTAATTTCAGTCCTCTCTCTGTCTCTGAGTCTTTGTCCAGAAGTATCAGGAATTCCACCACCCTGTTGTTCATTATATAAACAATGTTAAAGAAAAATAGATCCAGCTGTTAACTAGACAGTTTTTAGTCCATGGAATTATAAACATAAACATTTTTCTCCTACAAAAATCTTTTGGCTTTAGAATCTGTAGCCTCAAATTAGTATTTATGATGAATTCACTGGGCAAAGGAAACAGCTGTTTTCCCTTATTGTTTTTTTTAATATTTCAAAGTTGCTATCAATAGCTATTCTTCACAGCCATCAAAGGAAAGCAGGTATTTGCAATTCTGTTCAGGCACTTTTGAACACTCATCAGTTTATTGTTGTGATGGGGGGGATATCTTTGTTGTTAAATGCCTATTAATGTTAAAGGCCTTTTACAAAAGCCAGCTTGGACAACAACCTTAAATATGGTATGATGCAGCAGATTTAGTTTATCCAGCCATGGGAGAAAAACAAAAAACAAAAAAAAACCCTGATTTTACTTTGCTTGTAAATATACAATCTAATGGATAGTATGTTTGCCGTAAACTGCAATGTAAAACCTTGATAAAACTGTACTGTACTTCTTGATGTTTATTAAAAGATGTATTTTTATAAGCTTCTGCTTCTATCATTTGCTTCAGAGCTTTAAGGTGAAATTTTTGAGAAATATTTCTCAAATGTATATAAATTGAGTCCCATTTAAAGCCCTATAGAATAGGAATTGGAAAACATAAAATTCTAGAAGCATAAGACTCTTCACCCATTCCTAAGAATGGTCAATTCCATTAAAAGGCACGAATGAAGTCAATGAAGTAAGATTTGCCTCATCGGTGCAGTTTTCTAATGGTCTGTGATCTTGGAGATTGGGTATTCTCAAATGGTTAAGTAGGAGCGTCTTTTGTTACTCTTCAAAGTTTGAGATTACCAGGAGAAGTTGTCCTCATAGGAAAGTCACTTCAGAGTCTCTGAAACCTGGGGTGAGCTTTTATTTTTGTATTACAGTTTCCTGGGGATAGTTCTGACTGGTTGCTCACTGAAGCCCATCTCTTGATAGTATGTTAGCAGAGCCATGTGTTGTACTAGAAATCAGAGACTGCTTCCGGCTTGGCATCTTCTTCAGCTGTTTACGCAAAGCCCCATGGTCCAGAATTGGCCTCAGTTCTGCAGGCTCACTGAGAGTGCCTAACTGCTGGAGAATCCCTTCATGCTAGCCTGTTCATGTGAGACAGATTTACCAACCAGAAAAGAGAAATACAGATTACTTGAAACCACTATCTAAGACCAGTTTTTCAAAATACACTCTGCACAGAGCTTCTTAAAAGACTGATTCCAGGGCTGGGGTGGAAAAAGTAAAGGATGAGTGCACAACATCTTATTCTGCCAGAAAGTAAGGAAATGCTCAAAGAATGATGGGGACATATCAAATGACATAGGAGCCAGCTTGAAGGGGTTCCCACCAGCCAAATAGGAGACAATTTGAGCATCAAAATAAATAATAATGATGGATTATAGCCCATTGACTAAAGATCTATATATCTATACTGATACAAATAAATGGGGCAGGGGGGAGAAAAGCTTTAGTGGCCGTAGTGACCTCCCTCTGGAGCAAGCAGGCCCACGGTAAACGCATCTTCACCCTCACCTGCTAACCTGCTTCTGCTTTAAAAGAGCTCAAAGATAGCACTGAAATGTTGGAACCAGCTCATATGACCCACCAAGAGTTGATTATGCACATCTCTTCCCAGCTCCCCATTCTTTGACAAGACATTGGTAGTTTGAAATTGGCCATGATGGGAGTATTTATGCCACAGAAATTGGCATATGCTACAAATTAGGGACATTTATTTATTCAGAGTTGATAAACATTTACCTGCACACCAGGTAAATGGTCAGGAGTGATTAATTTGTTGAGCTTCAGGTTAGCTGATGAAGAAATTAGGAGTCACAGCCAAGTGATGAGAGCTGTGAAACTTTATCTGTGATTCAAACCTAAATTCAGAGACTGTCTGAAATAGCCTATTAGCAGGTCTCTCTATCTCCAGTATTGGTCTATCTTCCTCCCTACTGTCAGCCCCACCTGTACACAGGCAACAGAATAATCCTAATAAAATGCCATTATAACCTAGTATCTCCCTTAATTAAAATCCGTCAGCAGCTAACCCTCAGAACAGAATCTAAGCTCTTGCTTTAAGTCCGAATGGAAAGTTTTGCTCAGTAGGACACACTGGAGTATGTCAAAGAATGTAGATAGAGGAAAAAGCAAATTTTGCCTAGCATATTGCAGAGATAAAAGGCTCGTCTAGAAGATCGTTTTCATTGTGCTCAAAGCTGATTAAACTTAGTGATTATTAACGTCAACACTATATCAGTAGACTAATGTGTAAAAAACTATGCAAATAAGTAATGGGGAATATTCCTTTTCAGTGACTTGATAGGTCACATTCCTTAAGGAATTTCCATTTCCTGTATGATGAGAAAAGCAGCAGGACGAATGTAGTAACTAGCTTCTGAGATGTCCCCCAGTGATACCTGCCTCCTGGTATTCCTACCCTGTGTAGTCCCATCCCACACTGACAGGATCAACCTGTGTTACCAATAGGATTTTGTGTAAATGATGGTGTGTAGCTCCTGAGGTTGTAAGTCATAAAAGACATTGCAGCTTCTGCCTTTCTCTTTCTTGAATCACTTGCTCTGGGAGAAGCCAGCTACCATGTTGTGATGACATGCAAGCAGGCCTATGGCTAACATAGAAGAGACCTAGGCCTCTTGCCAACAGCCACTACCAATTTGCCAGCCACGTAACAGCCATCTTGGAAGTGGATTTCTCCAACCCCAGTCAAGCTGTTCAGATGACTGCAGCCCTGGGCAACATCTTGTTTGCAACCTAATTAAGAGACCCTGAGCCAGAATCACTCAGCTAAGTCACTCCCAACTTCCTGACCCACACAAACTTTGTGAGATAATGTTTATTGTTGTTTTAAGCTACTAAATCTTGGAGTAATTTGTTATGCAGCAAAACATAACTAATACAAAGAAAGCATAGAGCAAATGCCAGGGATCAATCTTGAGGAACATTTGTTTCTGTGCTGTGATGCAGTATTGTGAGGTTTTGTGCTCCATATCAGAAAACATGTCTCGTGATCCCAGATTCTCTTGAAATCTAATCTGAAGTATGTATGTGTG